ATGTGTTGTAAATTGTAATGATTTTTTTTCTTGTTCAGAACCCATTCTTTGCCCTTGACTGGATAAACCTAGTAAAATCACCTAGGTTTTTGAGGTCAACTTACACGCTCTATTGACAGAAGTGGGGAACACATTGCTGACTTTAACTATCAACTGCATTGTTTCCAGCTAGTAGCTGTGAAGACACCTTTAATACACCAGACTTAAATCCCATACTGTACATCTAAAGCCTACAATGGTCTCATATATTATATATCTGTGCTCTGCAGCAAAAAAAGTCTATACAATGCATTTCTCCTTACTAAAGGGTTTTTCAAGAAACTTCGAACAAAAAACAGCACTTTATTTGGTCTTCAAATAAAATTATCCACATTGTGCAACATGTATGTACAAAGATTGGTATACATTTGGAATCAGATGCTCCTAATGCATAACTTGCAACTTTGTTGATCTGTTACTTAGACTGTGTCTGAAACGCGCTTCTAGAGCTATGGCTACGGCTATTGTCAGATTGTTCCCATGTAATTGTTTTGGGTGAAGACCTTGACAATATAGCTCTAGCCATATCAACTTTTTTAATTTGTTCATTTGTGCATCAGGTCTTGACCCACAAGATAACCATTCCACCAGCACCTCTGACGTACCAGTGACTGGTGCTGCCATAAGGATCCTTAAATCACTATCTGACACAACAGCACTTCACCTCAGAGATCTTCAAGATTGAGATCCAAAATCTCCCAAGACACTTTGGATTTGCGGTGAGTTTGCTCCCTAAATATTGAACCCTCAATAACAATAACCATACAGTTTGTGCCTTCTTAGGAGTATGTATGTATTGTGCTCCATGCTTGGGATTTATCAAGGTCTGTTAATAACAGAATCAAAAGGCTGTAAAATGAATTTCACTAAAACATGAAATATCCCAGCCCTGTGTTTGTATGAAAGTAATGACCACATTTTACGCACACTTTTTTGCAATGCCCGTGCTCATGTTCACAATTGTTTCTAATGTTGCTGTGATGTTGATTTACATGTAGGTATTTTACACTTTACAGCTTTGGGATTTTCTGTATAATTTATGAACCTAGAATTCATTGCATTATACATGTGTACAACTTTGTACATTTAAGTATCTCATTGGCTGCATGCTATGTGCTAATGAACGCAGCAGTCACATCAAACTTGATCAAAATACTTTTGTTAACATTCCTTTCCCCTCAAACAGCAGTGACACTGAAGTTCCAGCTCATGACATCGCTGTATTGCTCATGAATATGGAACTTCATTAAAAAATATTTTAAAGCCTGAAACATCCAAAGACTTGGAATATAGTTCCTAAAATAAAAACCTCAAAATCTGTTTCAAAGGCACTTATAAAAAACCTTTATTTACAGTGAAAAAATTTCAGGAATTCCATATGTTAGTACACAAGCTCATTAAAAGGAAGGGTAGATCATTTGTCATTTGTGCATTTTTTTTTTCATTTGAAGCTACAACAGTGCTCAAAATCTAAAAACAGGTGCTTAACAACTAACATGATGAAGTTTTAGCTCTGTGAATGCAGTATATTCCAAACATATACTCTAAGATCTCAGGTTCAATTCAAAAGTTGCTGAGTCATGTTTTATATTGCGTCCGAATTCAGCCCCAGGGACACATTCTCATTCAGTCAATTGCAGCTACGCGATGTCATGCACTGAACTGACATATAATAGCAACCTAGTGTGCGTGTGCGTCGTGTCGACGCTTGCGCGCACATATTCATGGATTCACCGAATTTACAAACCAACTACATGAACTAACATGATGCATTGTTGGAAATGGCTTTCTTTCATTGTTGCCTTCAAAATGACAGCATGTCAGAAAGAATGATTTCGCAGGGAGTTTAGTGCCATTAAAACCAAAAGCCTTTAACAATAATTTTGTCAGTTACCTTTTGGATAGCTGCAAATGATCTACTCTACCTTTAAACACGAACAAAAGTTTGATTCAAATAATTAAACTATTTAGGATTTGTTAATTTCTGAACCTTTTACATACATACATTGCATGAATACCAGCTGTTCCCTTTACTGATAGTTGGTTGCAATCTGCTCTGGGCGGGCCTGCACATTACTGATGTCATGGTGCGTACATGTATTGGCAATTCGCTGAAGTAAAACACATTTCAACTCCATTATATTGTGTTGTTAATGTTTCTCGATGTCAAATCTACTTAATTGGCATTCCAATGAAGAACATGTATGAAACGGCCTTAAATCTGCTCTACACTTTGAACACAGCAAGTTCAAAAGCAGCACTCACTCTACACACTGCTGCCCTTAAAGACAGCTTGCACTTATCAGGTACCAGTGAACATTGTTCTTGACAACTTTCCAAAGATTAGATCCCTTCTGGTTCTGGATGTGCATACTGCTGCCCTTGTGCTGATGGCTCGGTGCCAGTCAGCCCAGGACATTGTTCCTGAGTACTTGCAAGTGACTGCTGGCTCTCTGCTGGTTCTGGATGTACACACTGTTCCCCTTGTATGGATGGCTTGCAGTCAGTCAGACTAGAGCATTGTTCCTAATGAGAACTTGCAAGCGCTGGGGTCCCTGCTGGTTCTGCATGTACCTCAACATGCACTTGAACATGCTGCAGACTGTGCATGGATGCCTTGCTGCTGCTTTGCCTGGAACATTGTTCTTGACAGCTGTCCAGTGACTTCTGACTCTCTGTGTGTTGTGCATGCCCTTGGCTTGGTGGCTTGCTGCTGCTTGGCCTGGCAGCACGGTGCTCTTGGTCATTTTCTGCCCGCGGAATCACATGAAGCTCAATCTGCTTCCCTGGCTGCGATGGTCGGCTGGGATTCTGTCTTGGGCAACAACGACAGCACAGTTTCAGGAATGAGAAAGCCTTGACTACAGCTTCACGAAAGTCAGCGTTTGTGGCACTGTAGACCAGGGAATTAATTGAGCTATTGGTCAGTTGCAAAATTGCAATGCATATAATCAGAATATTTATTGTCTCTGAAAGTTCCAGATTGGCAACAATCTGAGCAGTTGAAGTATACTTTGATGCCACTACAAGTACATGAATTGTCATAATTGAAGCTGCAGTGTACAGTGAGTTCAGAATGAAGAAAACAGCAGTGTTGATGATAACCATGCAGAGGACCTTGCCTGCTCGCTTGGGACGGTTCGGAAACAGGGCTGATTGCTTGCACACTTTCAGTACTACATAGATGTACAAAGCAAGAGTTGCTATCAAAGAGGCAATGTTAATAATGGAAAGAATCCCAAGGTTGACTTTATAGAAGACAGCGTCTGTTAATGGTACGAAAATCAGAATCACACCAACAATAATTGTTGGCACCCAGAGTCCTGCTGATATCTTTGCTGCTCGAGATTTAGAGGCTTTTTCTTTGAACGTTATAGGATTGCATACTGCAGAGAATCTCTCAGCTGCTATGGTAACCACAAAGAAATTAGAAGTAGCGAGGAACGTGCTTTGGATACTGAATATTGCCTTTTTGACCAATAAGTTGGACTTTATAGGTGAAAACAGTGCAATTATGAAGTAAGTTATAAGGTAGAGGGAGTCAGCCACAGCCAGATTGGATAAGTAGATGTTGATGATTGTACGCATGGACTTCACTTGAATGACTGTGAAGAGAAAGACAAAGTTTAAGCAGAGGCCAATTGGTGCAATGATTTCAGCACTTAACCATGATATTTGCTCAGTTCTTTCTCTACTCATGTAATAGTTCTCAAGATGCTTTTCAACGTCAGTTTTCCACCCAGTTGATGGAGTGGAGGTGTTTTGGTAGCCATCTACCATAGTTCATGCACAATGTAGCATTGAGCTCAGTGAGCGACATTTTATTCAGATGCAGCAAAGAATGTTCTTCTCTATTTCAAGATCACTCCAGATTTATACTTACAGGGATTGCAAGACTTTAAACAAAGTGTAATTGAAACAGAAAGTTTCTTTTTCTTTTCTCTCCTTCTCTCCCCCCCCCCCACATTTCTGTCCAATTTTAATGCATGTGACTATCTTGTGGTATTAGTTCCTGTAACCAAAGCAGATGCATGTTAGTCAGTTTCACTACTTGCATTGACATGAAATCTGAGAATTGAATTTGTTTCAGTTTTAATGATTGGCTCCAGATTAAACATGCATATTGTGTACATGTAATTGTTTTTTTATGCAAGTCGTTCCTTCACAAGGCATAAATGCCACTCAATGTGAGGGCTACCGTACAAGAAGAAAAGACAGAAAAAAAAGAGGACGATAGAAAAGGAAGACAATTAAGTTTAGCGTGTGAGAGATGCATGTTCACATTGTGTTTAAAGTGGGCGAGTCAATAAGAAAGTGACCCGCACTCAAGATATTTTTTCTTAAAAAGCAATCAAATTAGATACACTGAAGAAATATGTCTTAAAAGAGCATGTTCTTCCACTCATCTGAAAAAACCCAATCACTAAATTTGATCATGCCATCCAAAGTTATGCATGTTTTACTAAAAAGAACCCATTTGTGTAGCTGTCCAAGGAATGCGATAATATTGAAAGCTAAATGAGCTAAGTGAGATTTACAGATTATACACAACTATTCAAGTACAAATGAAATTTTAATGATTGAAATCAAGACAATTTTTACTATCAGGTTGTGTGTTTTGAATATGAGAAACAAGTCAACTCTCTCTTTCTTTGAAATATTGATGGTGATTTTTGTATCTTTTCCTTTGCAAGTTCTGGTTCATTCACGGAGGTGGGAAAACGATGGATGTTTCATTGTCCTCAATGGGAGATGTATTATCAGTTCGCAATATGGTCATTGATAAGTGGTGGACAGCTAGGTTTTGTGATCATTTTATAGAAATAGACATGAATTGGGAATAGAGTATGCAATTTAAGTGAAATTTTCACAGTTAATAGTCAATAAGATGTACTTTACCCGTATTTTATTGAAATGGAACAAGCTAAATATTTTAAACATTTTTTTCAAATTCAGTCACTTTCTTTTTGACTCATCCTGTAATTGGTTCAACCGGTCACGTGGGAATAAACTTGATGAATACATCCTGAAAATGGCTTTGGGGATAATGACAGTATATGGATGTGATTGGACGGAGGAGCAGGTAGTTGGTAGTTGGTTTTAATTTGGTCATGTTACTGATGATGGAAAGAAGTACTAATATTACTTTGTACAAAGGTATATGTAGATGTAGACAACAGCCCAAAAAAGAGGAGATTTTCTTTTTCTATCAATCCTTCTTGTCTTTTTCTCCAAAATGAATTGTGTTCTTCCCCTGGATGTTGATTTATTTACCCATACAACAATTCTGTACTTCCCTTCTGTTTGATATTCAATTTGATCTGATAAGCAATGAAGTCAAATGGAAGTTTTTATTCACAAATCACAATTTGATTTCTGTTCATCAGTTGCCTTTTTTTTTTTCCTGGGCAAATGTTGGTTGTCATCTGATCAGAGTTTCTTCTTCACTTTCTGGGGTTGTTGTCATTGCTGACCGGATTAACTACAAACTGTTACTGCTTGTTTTTCATTGCCTTCATGATTCAGCTCCTGAATACAACATAGACCTATTAACTCCTTACAATCCATCCAGGCGATTGAGATCTTCTGATGCTTCTTTGCTGGTTGTCCCTCACACTCACAAATCTTGGGGTGATCGATCATTTTCTCACGCAGGTCCTCATCTTTGGAACAAACTACCCCTCGCCATTCGCAACATCTCATCGCTTTCTGAATTTAAAGTTGCCCTAAAGACCTATGTGTTTCAGAACACTCAGAATGTTCTGGTTTAGTTACATTTAATTGTTTTGTTATTTCTGATTTGATATAATGTTTGTTTGCGCCATGAGTGTCATTTATGGCGGATAATGGCGCAGTATAAATTTACGTTATTATTATTATATTATTTGAAATCAGTCTCTGCCTTGCCTTACGATCAAGTTGATGTTGTCATGTTCTCAGTTTTGTTGATTGAACATCTTTGCAAGACAATTTGCAGGGCTAACTACTTGGTCTAACTACGTGGTGGCATGGTTTAGTAAAGGTTTGCGGTACCAGCATGTAGAATTTTTTGGGGGGAAGATGTGGGTTTTTTTTCAGAACCACACATCTTCCCAAAAGAGACTCTGCATGCCTACATGGTGTTACTGCAAACCTTCACTAGAACACTGTCTTCCACAAATGTGACAATTGGGAAGGGGAAAGTGTGTTTGTCCATTTTTTTTGGGGGGGGGGGAATATAATCCCCAACCCCTTTTCTTCCCCTGACATCCCCCCCCCCTCCCCCAGCCCCTGATTCTTTGTAAATATTTCAAAGCTAATCATTTTGTATTGATGATTTTTCAATGATAGATATAAAGTGTTTGAGGACCTACGTGGATCTGTTTGGGCCTACAACTACGTCCATTCACTGAGCGGATTCGGGATTACCCATCGAGGACTCGAAAAGATAGGAGAGAACAAGGCCAGTTTCTTCGGTAAAATTATCAAATCAGGTAAGACAAACATCTGTGAAGACTCATTTGCATTGGTCTGCATCTCAATTCTATGTTTATAGTTGTGAAATTCGAAATTGTGTATTAGAAAGTAGGAATCAACTTTATTCGATTTCATCCATACAATTATTGATCTTCTTTTTCATATATGTATTTTTTTTGTTGCCCTTCCCTGAAGTATTTTACAAACACTGTACACATTGAGTTTTGGCCGAGGGTTTGCAAGAACAAAAATCAACAAGCTTACTTCTGGTTGGACACGAATCCCCAACCTTCTGCTTCGTAGTGCAGACGCATTTACCACTCGACCACTGAGCTTGAGTCCCACCTAAGCCTTCGGACAACACTAAGTGCACAGTGTTTACAAAATATGTCAGCGAAGGGCAAACAAAAATTAAATATAAAAAAGGATAATTTACATCTCATAAAATTTTTTTTTCCTGCCCAGGTTCCCATCTGAAGTCCATCCAGATGATCCTTAATAAGACAACAGACGGTACAGGCATAGACTCCAACACCCTAGCCTTACAGATGAAGGGCCATCCTGAGCTGAGGGACAAGCTTCATGTCGTCACCTCTTGGGGGCCTTTGCCTGTCTACCCTGGGGTGGTCAACTCAGAATTACCTGGTAGGTACAGTGGACTCTGTCACTAAGTACCAGTGTTGTAGTCGAGTTACCAACGTCGAGTCCGAGTCCAAGTCCAAGTCTCGAGTCACAAGCCTCGAGTCCAAGTCCGAGTCACAAGTCACTTGTTCTTAGTTGTTCACCGAACTAATCGTTTTTAAAAATTATTTTTTAATCCTCCATTCTGTCTTTTAAGTAAATCCCAGTGTATATAGTTGTGGTTGTACATGTTGTTTAGAGCCAAAATGTGTTTTCCTTTTAATTCCCATTCCTAAAAAATCTTCCTCCAACCCTTCCCTCCATGTTTTGTCATCCAAACAGTATTCCTCAATGATCCTTTCCCATACCTACGTTAGGTTTTTACTTTTGATGAAATTACGTGACTCAAGTCGAGAGTCATCGAGTTCGAGGAGTCATGGTCAAGTCCGAGTCATTTTCCAATGTGACTAGAGTCCAACTCAAGTCCGAGTCCTAGACTCGAGTCCTACAACACTGCCCAGTAATCCCTCTTAAGAAAAGGTTTAGGTGGAACTCTTGAACGCATTGTCGCCCAACACCTTGTGCTGATGTTAAGATATTTGATGATCATAGTGCAGTGTTCATATAGCACTCTTATACAACACTCTCAGATTGCTCACACTTATTACCCCTGTTCATCAGGCCATGAGAACACTTTCCTGCTATAAGCTCGAGATCAGCCCTATCTGGTCTGCACCCCCCCCCACATGTACTCAATGGAGGCAATTGTAGTAATGTATCTTGCCCAAGAACACCAGCACCGTGTCCCCTGTCAAGATTGACTCAACATAACATCGTGCATGAGTCAAACACAGGAACCTTTTGACCACAGGACTCTGCATGCTGAATAAAACTCTAATCAAATAACCAACGTATAAACACTGACGTATAAACACTGTATGAGTGTGTTACCTCCTGAGTGAAAGTTGGAAAAAAAAACGTTGGCGAGGGGCAAAACCTAACTTGATTTACATAACCCCAACTAAAATTCCATCTTATGAATAGTTAATGATATACCTGCTGCTATGTACATCAGATTCGAACCAGCCAACTGATTCCCTTAGCTCGGTGGTTGAGTGGTAAGACATCTGCACTAGCTAGTAGGAGGTCTTGGGTTCGAGTCCCACCCGAGTGATTTTTTCCAACTTTCACTCGGGAGGTAACACACTGACCGTTTATACCAACCGTTTATACGTCGGTGAAGGGCAAAACCTAATTTGATTTACATTACCCCGATGCAAAATTCCATCTTATGATGGATATTTGTTGCGTGGAAGAAGAAAGTACCTCAGACAGTCAGACCACTGTTTAAACAGAAGATCTGACCTGACACGTGTACATGAGGACATACAAGGGCCTCATGATTCTGATATTTAGTATGCTTGTAGATATTTAAATATTGTTGAACCCTGCATCATAGTAAACGGCCTGCAACAGCCTGCCGTTTTGAGTCTGTGTTTAGATTAATCACCATTTTGCTCGTCTCATGTTGAATATTCTTTGGTCTTTTTTTTTCTCATAGAATCTCAAAACATCTATCAGCAGGCATCTTCTCAACATGCATCTCGACCCCAAATGGCAAGCTCAACTGAACCAATACATGGTGTCCAAATTTGTGCCGGTTACACTGGATCAGTACAAAGGATTGTTCAAATAAACAAACAAATGTTCCAATAAACCAAAAAGGGAAACCGACGATTAGTGCATTATAAAATATATTGCATTATTATAATATAACAATTGTAACAAAATAATGAGACAGTGTTATATTTTAAAAAAAATAATAATAAATTCATTGTTGAAATCAGTACTCTTAAATTGGAACTTGTCATGATGCAATTTTGTCTCTCTAAATTAATAATGCAATATACATATTTTATTATGTAAACATGTTTTTTATATATTTTACTGAAACCACAGAGACTAGTTGTCAATCTACAAGCTATTGTCACATCTTACTGTGTGCAATGAGTTCATTAGCAGGGCTCAAATTTTGTGTGAAAATTTTGTGAACAACAGTACCTGAAAGTATTATTTACTGGACCAATGTACATTCACAGATTAGTCACGATCATGATTAGTCATGATCATGATAAACTGAGACCAGATTTGGACAGCACATGCAATCATGAAAGGCATGTACAGTCGAATCTCGTTAGTACAAACTCTGTTAATACAAAATTCTGGTTATAACAAACATAAAGCCTTGGTCCCGACTGTGCATTTATGTACACAATGAATGGGACTGATGTTCCTCTTAATACAAAATTCTGATATAACAAATAATTTGGTTAGGTCGGAACGAGTTTGTATTTTAAACGAGACTCGACTGTATTCATCTGAGTGCAATGTGTAATTATAAAACATCAAGATGAATTTTTATTCCCTTTGTTTTAAGTTGCCAAATCTTCCAAAGACTTTAGAAGTGTTTTTGTCATTTCGTATAACCTTCGAGAGTGAAATACATTGGAATATCAAAACAATGTGTGTTACAGTGAAGTGCAAATTTGCCTTGTTGAGATTATTTATGCAAATGCGATAAGGTTTTCTGTCATGGATGTTGGTATGAACATACATGATGTGGATAGGATTCACCTACTTTAATGAACATGTAGTTGTGTTTGTCATTTATAATACATGTACACCATATAGTTATTAAACTGTGCTGTAAATTTTGGATTTTTGTGACTTGGTTTAAAAATTAACAATCACTTCTTGGTTTAAAAATTAATAATCACTTCTTTCATATTTCAAAAAACTATATTTGCAATGGCAAATTATTAAAGTGGATGCGGTGTTTAAAATGAATCAGACTTTCTATTCTATAAATGTTCTAGTTTTCTGGCAACGTGATGTTAGAAATGAACTCTTTTGAACTTTTAATAAAATTGTATTTTCAATGGCAAATTTTATATTAAATACAATACATGTAGATCTGAGCCAATTTACTTGTTTCAGTCAAATTATTCTGTGTGAAAGATTGACCATTTTTTTCCTCTGGCTTATTTCATCGTGTCACGCTTAATTTCTTGGTTACAGAATCCCAATGTTTCCAAGTAGATATCATGGCTAATGGAAAGTACTCAAGAAAGATACTCAAACCCAAATTTAAAATATCTTAAAAAATTTAAGTATCTTCCTTTTCTTGTACATATATTCAATGGGGAGTGCCCAGGGGAGTGCCGATAAAAGCCTACAATCATGCACACTACATTTCCTAATAGTGTACAGGGGCGGATCCAGGAATTTCGCAGGGGGGGGGTGTTACATCAGCCAAAAAATCCGATGTACACAGGTGTTTTTTTCCAGACATTTGGCCTCCGTAAAATTAAAAACTAGGGGGGGGGGCTGGTTCCATATTTTAATAGGGGGCGCTGTTCAAATTCGACGATTAGTAACGCTAGATTACAGACTGGTGTGCCGTATTTTGAACAGGGGTACATTATACCAGTATAATTTTTTAGGAATTTGTATGATAATGTTTTTTTTTTACTTTTTTTTATTTTTTTTATCCCAACCCCCCTCCCTCTAGATTCGTGCCTGGTGTAAAATTGATGGCCCCTGCTCACAACTGTTTTTTTTTTAGGGGGAAGGGGGGGGGGGAGAGACCGTTCGAATGTAACATCACCTTAATTCTAACATTTGCTACCGTCTTTTTGTACGGAATTCCTTTTTTTTAATGGGGGGGGTCTCAACAAACGTTTGGGTGCTCCCTGCCCCCCCCCCCCCCCCCCCCCCCACTGGTGGAACCACATCTGAGGGTGAGTTCCCTCAAATGACTCGGCCCATTTCGGTTCTGTAGGCCAAATTTCTTGCGTTTACCACAATTTGGTAAAAAAATAATGGACCCAGGATATTATACATATACTTAAACACAAAAACATACATACATGTACATAATCTTTACACCGTTCTAAAGGAACTTTGTTCTACTTTTTTCATTTTGAGGTAGCATTTTTGGTATCAGGGGTCAATCTCTCTGGGGGTAATCTTGCCACCAAGTCTATGTTAAAAAGTTTCTACCGGTAACTTTAACAGCGCCCTCTAAACAAATCTTTGAGAGTGGTGTTTTTGAAATTTCGGACTAGCTTCGGATCGGTGTCGTAATCATTTCCACAACTAATGACATGTCCGATACAAGCAAGTCATAACATTTGGGCTGTCAACAGCAAGAAATGTTCAAAGCAAAACAAAGACCGATACCAGTATATCCCGAAAGTGACAAAATAACATCGCTGGAAGTCAAAGCTAAATCTTTCAAACGAAACCAATGTTTACGAAAATTCCCAAGGTATGACGTATTGCTCACGTGAGGGCGCATACAGGTGGTGTTGTTTTGTGACACTGACAGGTGCAAAATGAATGATTGCAATTCACACGTGGTGGTTTGTTGTCATGTCAGTGCTGCATGCACATGTCACAATGAAAAGACCCTGTACTCAAGCCCTTCTCGCAAGTGTCGTCGCCATGTTGGGTCACTTTCTCCGGATGTTTTCATGGTTGTTTCTCTGCTAATTTGTGAGGTACTTGGTTCAGTACGTCCGCCGTCAACTCGATTTTCTTAACCCCTGAAAAACTGCAAGAAGTTCATGGCCTGGTCGTGAGTATTTAACAGGGACAGAATCGTATTACCAAGGTTGCGATCATGGCGATGTGCATTCACAAAGCGCGGGGTTTGCAATCGAATCAACGTACAATTTTCCGTAAACCGTAGATCTAAAATTTTCACATAATCCTATTTAAACATTTTGGATTTTGAGCATGTTAAGGAAGTGACAGTTAAGCTAGTGGTTTCTCACGTTCGTCATGTGCATTTTCCCATGTTGAATAACTTGAAGTGTTCAACATATTTAATTGGCCTGATCGAAGATCAATCTGATAATTGACAATTATTATGTACCAAAAACAGGGCTGATGGCTTTCAGGGACTTCATTCATCCTTGCAACATATCTCTCTCTCTGTTATTTTAGTCTCTATTGTATTGGAGTGGTGATGTGAAGTAGTTTTCTACAGGAAATAATTAATGCTGGGTTCCTTTATTTTCAATAGGACCCAAAGAAATATTGATTGTGAAAAGAATGCAAAAGTCATATCCGTCACACCTTTTGTGACGGAAATGACAATTATTATATTACTTGGCTTTTGGAGGTATAATTACCTTTTCAAGTTGTTTACTTTACAAATTATGGCAGTAGGTACATATTGAGAAATACACGGGGACATGCATTTTGAGGGGGTTTTGAGGGAGTATTGTAAAGAATGAGCATCTTGTCCATTATGTTAAAGAGTTTTTAACACTGCACATAATAGGAGTCGTGTTAAAGTTAATTTCACTGCTCAAAAATCTAATTTTCATTCTATATTTTTTCGAATTATAGTGCCTTAAAGTGTCGGGACATGAAAGTAGACACTTGATACTGAAGAATGACCCATAGGCCCCTTTTTAATAAAAACTTGCTGGGAGTGTACATGCGGGAAGAAATTCATGATAAACTATCTCCAGCATTTAGGATAGAGATAAACCCACGAATGATTCTAGCGTAAGGTTGATGCATTGGCAGTTGTACTGTTTAACTATGTTCACTATAGGGTGTCAGTGGGTACATTTAATTGTTTTGAAAAGAAGCTGAAACAATTAGAAGCAGTAGGTGAAAATTAACAAAAATCCACTTTGAAAAAAGATGTATATCATAAATTTAATTTAGCTACTTAAACTGTGCATATTAATTTACTTGTGCTTTTAACAAATTCAATAAATATATATAATCTGATATCAAAAAGTATTTTTGTCCTCTGCAGGCTGAGTGTAAACATTAAACTGAAATCCACAGGCAAAAGGGGAACTATGTATTGGTGGAGTGAGGAAATTATGGATGTGACATTTACACATTTAAACATTTAAAATAATAAACAAAATTCTAAATCGTATTTTTCCAAAAGTTTTAACAAAACTCAAATTTTAAAAACAGGAACCTATTTTCCGCTATCTTCCTTTGAGTTGAGCATGCATAACAAAAATAATCCAAACCTATTCAATTTGCTAAAAGCTAAGGAGAACTGCAGTACTAGATTACTTTCAGGCTACGTGCTCATCTTTTTATTGTTTTCAATGACAGCCCTCTTTTTATTATGTTACTCATTTATTATTTGTTGTGTCGATCATGTTGGTCTGCACAATGGGCAGTCGTCAGTCTTTGTGAAAGGGCTCAACATTGAGATGGTTCTTTAAATGTTTGCTAAACATTTACAAAATGAAACGTCACATCCTTAGAAGACATTGGAGGAGGAGGTCTAAGAAATTGGAGGAGGAAGGCAATTGGAGGTCTGTGGATGTTGAGCTACTACGTACATGTAGAGGGTAACAGATGTCTCTGATGGTGATGCTGAAGTTTTGCAGAGCTATCGTCTGTTTGCTGACCTTCATTGCTAGACGGACAGAGCATGGATGTAGCTGCTTGATACTCATGATGATGGTGTCCCTTTTGGTGAGTGCTGGGTGTTCATTGATTTCCTGTAATTCTCCCCATCTGCCATGTGCTCTGTGTTTGTGCTGTCTGGCGTTGAGTTCTCTTGCTGGTGTACCCAGTGTACACCTTCTGCATTCGCAGGGGATGCATCAGGTTCGGTCTTGGAGGCTTGCTTGTCCTGTGGGCTATTGTGGATCTTGTGGGTGTGGAAAGCCCGGATACCTTTGTCATTTAGGAAGTACTGGATGTGATGAGAACTGCCTGTGTTGGGCTGTGTAATAGGCGGGGTGAGCCTAGTGGGTTCGACCTTGGGTGTAGGGGACCCTTTGGTAGGTGAAAGACTTTGGATCTTGCGTCTTGACTGGATGAGCCTTGAATCTGTTGTGTTGTAGTGCTGTCTTGATATGGTAAAGTTGTTGCCGGCCAGGATTGCGGTTGCTGATGCAGGCTTCCCGGACAAGGTTGCTCTTTGACTGGTGTTTGGATTTCCGGGTGCAGGAAGGATTGGTTGTCGATGTTGCCAGTCAGTGTCTGTCGGTCATCTCTAATAGACTCAGGGGTCGAGGGTGTTGTCAGACTGTTTTCAGACCTTAGCATCCGGGGATGAGATTCAAGGCGCCTGATCCTCACTGCGCCAGATGCTGCTGTAAATCCAGTTGAAGTCTTTCAGGACCTGCTGGAGGTCCCATGCTGTATGATGAAGTGATGAGAGTCTCATCCATGTACTGAAGACAAACTCTTGGTCTCAGATCTACGAAGGCAGTACTCCTATATGAAGGCATTGACTAAAACTGGGGATAGAGTTGATCCTGTGGAAGTTCCAGAAGGCTGCTTGGACAACTGGCTGTTCATTGGAAGAAAG